CAAAACGACCAATTAGTTGACTAATCAATGAAGAGCGGCCATTATAAAATGTGACCATATACTGAAACTGTAGGTCACAATTTCAAATCTTTCCTTTGAGGAGTTGGAGCCTCGATAAACGACTGCAGTTAGTGGCGATTAACTGTGAGAATGACTCAGCTGGCCTCCACAGTATTATTAGCTGCAGTGATAGAGAAATCATTGTTCAGTATGGTGGGCGTAATACTTCAGTGACTAATGCATGGGGGGGAAAAGTTGAAAATCTTTCCATTTTTGGGACATGAAGTCACCTGATGATACTCTGAGGTAACATTTTACATCCTCAGAGGAAAACTAGTGAGAAATGATTTATTCATCACCTCCCTGTCTCCAAGTAGGCCGAACCCCTGAGGTGGACTAACATCCAACATTTACAGCGACAGAAGAGGGGAATTCTTATGTGGGTCCTGGTCGTTGCATAACTGTTACGCTCTGGCAAACAGGCAGAGGATTCCCCCAAAGCTACTTTTAGTTTTTAGTTTGAAATATTAATCGGTGGAGCCAAAGGTTAATTTTCCAAGAATTTCTTCGGGGCAGCCTCCTAAAGAAACGCATCAAAGGCACCGAGAGGGTATCCATGTGAGCTTTACCTCTCACCCGCTGACAGCACGAACACGGAATATCTTGGACACTTTTAATGCAGGACCTGAGACACTCGATGCCTTCTCTTCAGGAGTGTGATGTGGGTTGTAAGTTAAACCACAGGTCAGCTCTTTTTTCTTGGGGTTTCGTTTGGTTTTTCTTTATTGTTTTTTCCATAAACCTTTTTTTTTAGTTTTTTTTTTTTTTTTTACTAAAACCGTCTTTTAAGCTGACCTTTAACTTTAGTCTTCATTCAGTCGCCTTTTCCTGCAGAATTTTATGATAAAGTAGAATTAAGATTCCATTAAAGGTCAGTGCTAAGCCGATCAGAGCAGACTGGGCTTTTTCGGGAGCGGGGCTTCAAGAGACAGGCGCTAAACCATAGACTGTATATAAGAAGTGGACGTAGTCATCGTTATGAAGCCATGAGTTCGGCAACTTCTCCGTCGCCATCTTGGAATACGGCCGTGAACTACGGTTTTGAAGCCTTCAATTTGGCGTTTTGGCGGTTGCCATCTTGGA